GTCTTGAACACCTTTAATCAATGCATATCATTTACTTAGAAGTGACGTCATCGCTTTGTGACGTCACGCTTTAATGACGTATTTTGACTTTATGACGTCAGTTAATTAGATATTGTGCGACTTTTGTACATGTTGAAAGCACAATTATCCTTTTAAGTGATGTCATCGCTTTGTGACGTCACGCTTTAATGACGTATTTTGACTTTTTATGACGTCATTTAATTAGATATTGTGCGACTCTTGTACATGTTGAAAGTGCAGGTTTCGTGCATACGCCGTTGTACGTGATGCAAAGAGATGAAGAACTAGATTAACGAATACGAATGCGAGAACAAGATGCTGCCACTAACCGTTAACTTCGTACTACACTTTTTTAAGCATACAAGGGTCCAATGAACAATTTAAAGTCGAAAAGGCGAAAATCCGATAGTGATCCAAAGAGTCGTTTGGGTACCCTGTGGAACGAAGTACTTGGCGTTCTATGCTACTGCATCTAACTGCATCTATGGCAAGCATTGGCAATCCAATATACCGGGGGAAGCGAGGTCACAAGAGTATCTCCCAGGCAACCAAATGATTGACAATGAGTCAATTGYAACACATAAACGAAAGAAACACAAGCACTCGAATGAGGAGAAAATTAATGAGGAGAAAAAGACTCTGTGTCACAAACAAAGCATTGCGTTACACACCCTTCCKGGTTCACCGGGAGGCGCAAGAAGATTGATTGGGTCACGCTATCTTCCTCATGTGTCACGGTTTGGTGATAGAARGTTCGGTTCCAGGCCATTGTACTGTCATCCTTTATCAGTGGACATTATCTGTCACGACGAGGCCATCACTTCGAGTGATGAACTATTCTCGACACTAAAGCAATSCAGTTTCGAAGGGGATACAGAAGACGATCATGTGTTCTGTAACGAGTACAATTCGAACGATTTAGATTCACTTTGCCATTTTACTAAGATCTGTTGTTCTTTTGATTAAATTAAATTATCTTACAATTAGAATGACTTACACTCATACGTTATACAAACGATCAAACGTTCTGTGATATCAACATGGGGTATTATAGAACCGGTGTTATATATGTGACAAAAAAAGTTTATCTCAGACGGAAATGACTTCATAGCGTTCAAATTGAATCCATTTCGTTGTTGCTTGTTACCGATTCCAAAGCATGGTCAGGAAGATGACTTATATTATGATTGTAAAGTTGACTTCTTCGCTTGAACCATCTGTCACACAGGTTGCATTTATAGGGCCTTTCTCCAGTATGGGTCCTTATGTGGGAGGTGAGTTCATTAGTTTGTTTAAAGGCCTTACCGCATTGTGTGCAAGCAAAGGGACGTTCTCCCGTATGCGTCCTTATATGGACTGTCAAATGGTACTTTTCCTTAAAGGCCTTATCACAGTAGGTGCACTTAAAGGGCCGTTCTCCATTGTGATGTCTTATATGGTACTTAAGGCTCCTTCTTTTCTTGAAGGTAGCGTCGCAGAGTGGGCAGTGATGAGGGCGTTCTTCMACGTGTTGTTGCGARATGTGAAGAAGGCATTGGCTCCGTTGCTGGAATAACTCGTTGCAATACTGRCACTTAAAGCGWCCTTTCTTCATGGGTGACTTATTCTCGGCAGCGGRAAGGGTTATTGAYGGCATCACAGTTGCTATTGGTGAYGAATCTTTCACTAAAGRACTCGGATCGCTTATTGYCTGTGCCAAAATTGGCACCGTCGCTGTTTCTTTCAATACCTCTGACGAGAGACGACTGTCTGTAACCTTGCCAGTGTCAGCACGCTTAGAAGTCAAATCATCATCCATTGTTCTAGATAATGTTTCTTCGCGAGTTTCAAGAGAAGTTTCTTGGACTTTTGTGTACCCAATTGTCCCATCTCTTTCATCGGAATTTTTCTGGCTCGCCTCGCGCGCTCKTTTGTCTAAGAGTGAGTCAATAAAAGTGTCCAGTGACTGTTTCTTCTGCCTTTTCGATGGAGGAATATCCAGGAAAGACCCATCGCTTACATTTGGTTCATTTAGAGACAACACAACTCCATTATCATGGRGCTYTTCTACTGTGYCCTCTTYAGAAGAGCTYCTTCCTCCAAGCTGAGTAGCAASGCGTTCGGATTCCCCTAATGATTTCTTCATTGATACATTGTTCGACTGAGCTATGCTTTCGGCCTGTCGTTGGGACATGACATCTTGGATAACGATTCCAAGAGGGTTAATATTTTGTATATTAGGGTTATTATTTTGTAGATTAAGACCGCTCGAATGAGTTGCTCCTAGTCCCTCCTCATTTGGGAAGTAAACAGTCTCTCTCGCACGATTTACACTGGCGTTTCGCCCACTTGTTCTCGAATCACTTTCTGCGTTCGAGAACATTTGATCGTTAACTTCTTGTGATATAGGTGTACCATTTGTAGAAAATGTAAATTGTTGTCCYTGTTGCAAATACTTTACACTCACTTGATCGCGACATGATGTGATCAAAATCTGACAGGGGTCTTTAGAAGACTCAGGAAGATGAATCTGCAGTACCTTATTGTGGCCAGCGGTTCTACAAGATGAACCACGCCCAACACCATTAGCGCTACAGCATCTTGGAYTACTAAATGCCAATGAGAAGGACGGTGCTTCGTTTCTATCGCAGCAACACTTCCTTGTAGCATATTGRCAGCTTTCGTCGCAATTTCGGCGTCCCTCAGTTTCACTCCAAGGGTTGCTGGTACGGCGCTGRCTTGCAAGTTGCTCGAGAATGGACCGGAAAGCTCTTTCCAAATCTCGYTTACCAACTGTTAGAGGTATATCGCCTGACTCACCAAAAAGTGACTCTAGAGGTGATGATTCCATGATTTAATATRCTTGCAGCAGCGAGAGATGTAAATCCTAAAGCATAAACAGAGAATAGTTAAAAAATACTTACAGAAATATATATTTCCACATTCGCTTTCCTTTGCAAACGTAGAAAAAATAGACAATCGCAATGTTTTTGAAAATAATGCGAAAAACGAATCCTAACATTTAAGGAGTCCAATAGATTAACGTTAAATAAATATTAGGAGTGTTTTTGTTTTATAACAAATATTGGGATTTTTCTCTGTTAGTATCACATTGAATTCAAGTATGATTTTTTAAATACAGGTGAGCGCATAAAATCCGTGAAATGCAAACTGAAAAGGTCTCAGTTTAAAGTCTATTTCATAAATTTTCGCTAAATTTTCACGTTAATTGTTACTATATCTAACTACTAACCATGCAGTTACTAGACAACCGACGGCTAGAAAAGTCATTYTATAGAAATTGCGACTTATTTATGACCGATTACTGAACTCTTCTCAATGATAATTCCGCGAGATCTGCTGTCGAAGGATTGATTGAAAGCTAAATGTCCCCTTGCTTCTTTTAATACTTTAAAGCTTTTTTCATTTCCAATTGAAGAAATCAGCACTGCCAGAAATCATATTCCATGAGACCAACTCGAAGCCTTTGTATGATTAGCATAAATTTGACATGTGATCTATTGTCAGTCTATTTTAAGTGCCATTCGTTTTCATTAACAAAATGACAAATGCCTTTTCGCGAACACGCTTCAAATCACGTTTTTATKATTAAGTATACGATATATATCATTTTCAAAGTAATTATTTTCCATTTCGAAAACTWACTTCATAAAGAAGAGCACATGTTAAACACCTGGACTGCATGGATAGGCACGTGACATTGATATGCACGCTCCTCTCTGACACGTTGTAATAAATAGAGTCGCTTACATAATAAGTTAGCCCTTGCCAAAAATCAGAATACATTCGTGAGTCATTGATATTCTTTTTTTTTTCAAAAATAAACAAGTAAATAATGTGAACTTACGGGTTCAAATGYGAAGGAACAGAGTTGAAAAGTTGTTTTCGTTGATACATGTTGCCCAAGTGGCAGTGTTTGGTCAGTCGCGTCATGTTATATTATCAYAGGGAGATCAGTTTTCACTTATAAATCTCTAAGATACAAAGACACCTTWTCTTAACTCTTCATTATATAAAAAATACATCTAACATTTTAGATTTTTTTGAATAATTTGATTAGGATACAACGTAAACAAATTGCAGARAAACGAACGTGAAGAGTTGTCAAGCGCTTTGGCAGTGCAGTCAATCGCTAAACTTATCAACCAGATTAATTCAAAACGCTATCTTACTGAGCGCAACTAAAACACACTGGAATACTGAGGTATACAATTTATTGCGGTACAACTTTACCAAAAGCAACAGAGGAAATGTGTCATAGTGTACTGTACTCTCGAGGGAATGAGCGTCCCCAAACTCAACAACTCACTAATTTTTGAATTTTAGTCATATCGTTTAGGTTACGTTGGAACAATATCTCAGCACTTTAAAATAAGGAATACAAATATGAATTTCCTTACCGCAATCTTCAGGAACTGCTGTAGACAAGTTGTCAACCATTTGTCTTTCTGTGAAGAAAGTGTTCCGGGGGGAATGGGAACTAATGAGTCTGCAATGAGTCAGCGGTTTTGTATATACATCAAAACGAGGCTAAGCACATTTTCAAAATGGCGACCTCGAAGAGTGCAAATACTTATAACAGACAAAACTGGGAAGATGCCGTAAGTTTGACCGCTTTTCTTTATCTTTTCAATAACGTATAGAAGTATTGTAGTTCATCACAAGTTTAGGCTTTGTTATTTTGTCAATTTAGGTTCTTTTTCAGTTAGTTTTGCGCATAATTTATGACAAACTCTTGACAACGTGACTCAAAAATCCTTTCAAACTCCATTCTTATCTTGGATTTTGGACGTTTTCAGAAAGTTTAGGTCATGAATGTTCCGTGGCATATTGAACATTCAATAAATTGTAGAATTTTTCATTGGAGAACTTTTGTATAACATTATTTAGAAAGTATTTAAGTGTGAAATTTGAAATGTGACCGATCGATGTGAGCCAAATTATTTCGAAATAACAGTCTGGATAAAGAAGTCAAAACGTCTACAGTTCTGGAAATCTGCATCGATTTTTCGGGCTGTGATCGTGTATCAAGTCATGTATTTCTCACTATATGTAGGCTCTATATACTCATCTACAAACTTATTGGTTGCTATTTTAGTTGCAAATTACATTCTTGATTAATCTGATTTTTCCTTTCTTTCTACTTTATATATGCAGGAATTTCCAATATTATGTCAAACCTGTCTTGGTGACAATCCTTACATTCGTATGGTACGTTATGATGCAATTTTTTACTTCCAGAATTCCATTTTCCCACTATTATGTACTGTATTACATGTAATTTCAGAATGTTCTTATTAATTTTTTACTTTGGATTTGTAGACAAGAGAAACTCATGGTAGAGAATGCAAAGTAAGTGCATTTAGATTGTTGTTGTTGCTGTTTTTTATCATTATTTCCGTATGAATACTGTACAATTCATTCCAGATATGTGCCAGACCTTTYACCATATTCCGCTGGTGTCCAGGAGCCAAAATGAGATTCAAAAAAACAGAAATTTGTCAGACATGCTCAAAGCTAAAGAATGTTTGTCAAACTTGTCTTCTTGATTTAGAGTATGGTAAGAGTAACTTATACTTCTGTACACAATGATTCATTTTGTCTTTAAGGAGTGATTTTTTCCCTTATTTTAGCTAAAATTCTGATTTTTTGATATTTTAGGTCTTCCAGTACAAGTTAGAGATAAGTCCTTAGGTCTTAAAGATGATATACCAAAGTCAGATGTCAATAAGGAGTACTATACACAGAACATAGAAAGACAGGTATTTTGATAAAGTTCTTTTTGTTGATTCTGTCTTGTTTAATGTTGTTTGTGTTGCTATGTATGCAAACAACTCAGACAAAAAAATTGACCTGCTTGTAGCTGCAAAACCCCATTTTACTATACATGTAATTATATGTATTTTATTCTATCTTGCTCATTCCCTGATGATGCTGTAGACAGCAAAAGCTCGGATTAATTTTAGTAAAGAACATCTATTCACAGGAGCTTTGGCTACATTTGTACTTTTCTCTCCATTTTACTGTTCTGAGYGCCATCTTGGAAGGTAGCCAAGCCTTTGCATCAAAGTGAGACATGAATTGATCCTGCAGCGATAGATGCCTTTTGTTCACACCTAAGACAATTACTCAAAGGTGTCTATCAATGCAAGCTTGGCTACCTTTCATGATGGYCATGGGAATTGTAAAATGGAGCATTAAAAATTGACATTTTTAAACCAATAAGTGGTCTGAAATTGTTCATTGAGTGGAATTTAGTGGTAGTCTTACTAATAGTATGTCATAGCTTTTGTTTCAGCTGGTTATGTACATGTAGTAATTTATTTGACAGTATACTCAACTACTTTGAGTGATCTTTCATCATGTAATTTAATGATATGTGATTGTTTTTATTAAAAGCTTGGGGATTCAGATGGAACTACTCCTGGAGGTGCTCTGGGCAAAGCCAATGCACCAAGTGATCTTTTAATGAAACTTGCAAGAACAACACCATATTACAAGAGAAATAGACCTCATATCTGTTCATTTTGGGTTAAAGGGGAGTGTAAAAGAGGAGAAGAATGCCCTTACAGGTAGATACTAAGTATACAGCCATAGTTATGAATGATTTTAAAGTGGCTTTCTACATGTAATTTTCTAGTGGATTGTCAGCCTAATAACTGTGATTTCTACAGCATAGGCGGCTCTGTTCTGCTTCATAAGGCCAAATTAAACAACCAACACAACTTTTGACAGCAACAACCGCATGCAACGTGCACAAGTCATCCTTACAACATGACTATTAAGCAATTGTTTTCAATCACCACAACAGTTGTAGCCATGTTGTAAGGATGCCTTAAGCAGGTTGCGTGATATGGTTGTAGGCAAAAGTTGTGTCGTCTATTTCAGCCTATCAGGATTTATCAAGTGTATAGCGCTATCCACCTACCTTCATACAACGGGTCCCTGGTGGATAACTTTATCAACCCTAAATGAAACTGGACCATGGCTTATTCAGTTTAGGAAGTGTCATCTATAGTGATACTCAATGTTTATTAACAAACTCATTCTTATTAATGTACCAATCATGATCAGAATGGCTTTTTACAAGTCRCTTTGTTCTAACAGCCAATCGTCTTCTGGTTGGCACATGAATAACAAAGGCRGAGTATCRCTATCACATTGAGTATCRCTATTYGTTTTAGTCACTGCTTMTCACTTWTAATTTCTTTTAGACACGATATGCCCACCGACCCCAATGAYCCACTTGCTGACCAAAACATCAAAGACCGTTACTATGGYGTCAATGATCCTGTTGCCAACAAGCTTCTCAACCAGGCCTCCAGTATGCCGTCACTAGATACTCCCTCTGATAGGTCAATAACTACACTTTATGTTGGTGGTTTAGAGGGGAAAGTCACAGAACAAGATTTAAGGTATGTCATTGGTAGGTTCATTGGTTTAAAAACAGCAAAGCAGATGACAAAACCTAAGAACCAGTTACCAGACAATGTATGGCAATGTATTGACTGGTTAAAACTTTGTGTGAATGGGCATTTTTCCCATGATTATGTTTTGTTTAGCAATTCATTTTATTAATCTATTTTATTATGATACTTTCCAGAGATTACTTTTACCAGTTTGGTGAATTAAGGTCAATAACAATGGTACCAAGACAAAACTGTGCATTTGTGTGCTTCGCGTCTCGTAATTCAGCTGAAACTGCTGCAGAACACTCCTTCAACAAGCTGATTCTCAAAGGTCGAAGGTTAAAGATTATGTGGGGTAAAGCACAAGGGCAACAGCCAACTCCTGGACATAAAGGTGGTGCCAATCTGACACCTGTTCCTGGACTACCTGGTGGTATGTGGCATTAATTTGCTTTAAGATTTATTGTGACAGTATTCTTGTATCATCCATTCATTTGTTCATTTATTTATATCAAACTCTTATTTGATATTACCAGCTCTCCCACCTCCACCAGGAAATGACAAAGACCAGGAAGCAAACTTCTTTAATCTAGAAWCAAATCATACCATCCCGCCACCACCTACATCAGGAGCTCGACCGCCACCRCCACAACCACCACCAAACCTCCCTCCTCCTCCAGGACAACGACACAGAATGCCWCCACCTCCTCCCATGAGAATGCCAGGTGGTATGCATCCTCCTCCCCCTGGTTTCCTCCCACCACCTCCATTTGGGCCCCCGCCTCCATTTGGACCCCCACCACCCTTCTATCARGGACCTCCACCACCTAGAGGGGGGCCTCCACCTCGACCAAGGCCGCCACCTGTTCAYTATCCATCGCAGGACCCCCAAAGACTTGGTACTTCTAAAGGATCTCAACAGCAAGAGCCAGATAAGACCAAAACCTCCAGTACTTGAATTTCTTCAATATTTTATAGTTTTACTGCATGATATTGGGGAGGGGTTTGGTGGAGTTAAAATAYGAATATTTATGAAGTTAAGTTTAATATAAGTCGAARCATAGACGCTTATTGTAAACGGGCATTCGTTTTTTTCATCCAAACTTTCGATTTTTTCATTAAACCTTTCTCTGGAAGACGATCCAYTGCAACTCGAATGGATAGCGCATATCAATTCACTCCACCCTCCCCTCCCTCTTCAGTTAAAGTGGTTCTTGAACCCTGGGTCGAAAAGATGGTAAAGCGCGATTTTATTTCGAATCTTCATGTAGTGTTTACTACTATTCGCTTGCCCTATATATAACTGGAAAACGTTTTTTATTATAAAGCAGTCAGTATTGCAAGTTTGTACAGTAATAACTACAAATAATTACCATGACCAAACTGTACAGAGGGAAAACCATCCAACGAATAAAAAGTTTTCACTGTGTAGGTTTCTATGGATTTCTACATTGGATGTCGTGATTCGCCTTTCGTACAACCGGACCTAAAACTTTGTAAGGAAGTAAAATCTCAATCATTCTAAAAATAAATGCAGTTTATAATACGAAAATTCAAGATTAAAACAATGTAAATTTGTGCATGTTGTGATCTTTTATTTGATTTTCGAGGTAAAAGTTTACATTTGCAAYGCACGTCCGGATCTTATAATATTCTTGTTGAGAATTTCACAGCTGGTGGACTTCGCTAGTTTGCTATTTAAAAACTCATAATAGCCTTTGTTTACKTTAAGATGATTGAAAAAAATAAAGAAAAGTAAACAATCTTAATAACTTCCATTGTGGAATTCAATCAATACAAACTTGYGTCGTTTGCTTTTGGATTTGTAGTCTTCCTGGTACCGAATTCCAAAAAAAGGCTCGAGTCTGATATAAACACATCGATGATCTCTTATTCTTCTGGCGTAATTAACAAGCTAAAGTCTTTTGCATGATTGTGAACTTTGAATTACCGGCGTTATTGTCCGCCTTATCCCCTCCACGTCGAATGAGAGCATTGAACTCAGATCGCTGTGTGACTCAATTGTACGCCATTATAGTTGAAAGAGTACCGCCAAATCAACAATCAAGACACTAGAATCTAGTTTCAACAGTAAGCATTCATAAAAGGCTATATTCGCTTGTTCAARATYACTCCTGGCATTCCCCGAAACTCTGTAGTGAAAGCTGTAGCTCASTCCAAGGGAGAGAGCTACTGTGCATTTTTAAATTAAAAATTAATTGCGGCGTTAAAAAAGATTATTAACGTTGAATTTGCAAGACATCCTGATTACAACAMTAAAAGTACAGTTGTAAATTGATGGATTTGTCGATTCACCAAGGCTCGTTTCAAGAGCAATACCAAACCCACTCGTGCCATCTTTGAGTCTGAACTTTCAAATATTGGATTCTGGAATTTCTTGGCGTTGGTAAATTCCTGGAAAATACCTTGAAGGGAATTGCAAAGAATATGTTTTAGCCTGATACTGGAGTTAATGGACTTCATATAGATATTCGATACATCTGGTGGACAAGATTCAAGATCGGCCTCCATTTTTCAAAGAAAACTGACMCGACATAAGGACTCGCAATCTCAAGATGTCTGAATACAACACTGTACTCAACACAAAAGAACGTGTACTGTGGGCGACAGTTTTCTTTCTAGAGTCTGCATTCATTATTTGTGGCAACTCAATCGCATTGGTGATTTTCATGAGAACAAAACCATTTTCTAAGTCCAATTATCTACTTATAAGTCTTACGGTAACTGATTTATGTGTTGGAATAGCCGAAGGACTGTCGACCTTGCCATTGATATTATACAAAGATGGTTACAGGAATAATTCTTATACATTAGTGAGAGCTTCCTTAATTTTTACCGTCTCTACGACATTCTCCTCAATTAATTTCCTGGCTGCAATTGCATTTGAACGTCTCTATGCAATTGTTTTCCCCYTAAAGCATCGTATGTGTAAGAAAGTACATTATTGTACTGCAATCTTTCTTGCTGTTTTCTTCGCAATTGTAATTTTAGTAGTCACCACTACATTGGAACAAGTTGGACCTAAGAAGAACCCCGAGGTACGCCGCAAGAGGGCAAACATTTTYATGATCGCAATTTCCTTAACMATACTTGTACTTATTGGATCATCATACGCGGCTATTTGGATAAAGTTACGATATTTTAGCTTTTCCAGAGAACGCAGCTCTTCTCAAARGAACAGGACACTCGCTAAAACRGCCTATATTATGAGCGCACTTTCGTTTGTCGCTTGGATGCCTGAAGGGATTTTRATTGGCTACCTGACTTTTCTCTGTAGTGWKGMGTGTGCGTCCTTCATCCCAAAGCACGTTTTCATGGCAGCAGATGTTCTTTTATACGGAAACTCCTTTGTAAATCTATTTGTCTACGTTTTTAGGATGCCTCTTTTTAAGAAAGAACTTTATAAGTTGTTCTGTTAAAGATCATCCCAAAAGTACAGTTTGGATCCAAGTCGAAGAAATTTATCCAAGTAGATCTAGATCTCTTAGTCTCTAGACTTCGCAGGAACTTCATCAAATACAACTTACTGAAGCAGCAAATAA